TAAATGTGTCACGTTTCTAATGTAAATATTTATGTACCACCCCGATGTTACACATGACTTCGGAGTAATTTGTTACAATAATCTATAAACTATATTTTAACTTCTCTTGAATGTTACACAGTCCCGTCTATGTTTTTTAATATTACCCACAAACATAATTCAATTCTATTTGTCTTTTTTCTAATATTTCATTTTATTAATAGTAATTTTTTTTAATCTATAGTTTTATAGAGATTGGCTCCTGAAGTTGTTGGTCAAACAAAATATTCAGAACTATAGTAAGAAGATTATTATTTTTTATTTTTTTTTTGTATAAATAAAAGAGAACCACAAAAAAATGATTATAACTACAACAATAATAATAATTGTGATAACAATGATGAATATGATAATTATGACATTGTGTATGAAAGTAAGAGAATAATAATATGATTTTAAATATTTGTGAAATATATTTGAAAGTTACATAACATTAATTTTATATATATTATTAATGAAGACAATCATACCAATAATAGAAACCAAAAAGTCCCGCTCCGCGTAACCACCACTGCCAATAATAATGAGTCATGCCTGCGTAACTACCATGCCTAGGAATAATATTATTATTATCTTTTTGTTATGGCAACAATGAAATTTGGGAATTTTAATTATTTAATTATCAATAGATGATCAACCAGTTAGAAATCATTTAAAAAATGATGACATGAGGTATATATTCATAATATTTAAAATTGTTACAAGTTAATGTAAATAATAATAATTAATGATAATAATAATTAATAATAACAACTAATAACAATAATAACTAATAATAATAATAGTAATTGATCATTTAATATTCAATCATCAACAAGCAAACTCTCTCACATATTATATACAAAATGCAATTAAATAATAATAATGGTGAAGATAATAGTAATGAAAATAATAGCATTAACAGAGTAATGGATGATTTTATGACCATGTTAATGGTCACTACAACCCAAAATATGCTAACAATATTATTGAATATCACTAACACTAATGCTAGATCTACATCTACATCTACTAATACTAATGATCACACTAGTCTGCCTATTGCAGCATGCTTAGAATCTGCAAACAACATCAAAGTTTCTCAAATAATAGTAATAGTAAGAAAATTTTAATTTATTATTTGGAAATTCATTTCTACAAATTATTTATTTTATGAATAAAATTTATAGGGAAAATTTATGTGAAAAAAAAGAAAGATCAAAAAATAAGTGTAAGAAATTAAATTATTCATTTTTAAAATATTGTTAGTGACTTCATTAATATTGCATATTTTTTTTGTTGAAGGCTTTTTTTGAGAAATTAAGGATATTTTATTCCAATTATTTAATTACAAAAAATTATATAAATGTATTCATGAATGCAACTGTTTTTTTTTGTGCATACATTTGTGTTTGCATATATTATTATTAATAAAATAAAATTACAATTAAAATAAGACATGTTGCTCAGTAAATTCAAAATACAAAATTCAAATTTGTACCCAATCCCATACTAATCATATCCCAATTCACATTCCAATTTCATTAATATTAATATACAAATTCATATACAATTCCGTACTAATTCTGTAATGATTTTCCGTGAATATTCTGGTTTTTCATGTCATATTCCGTGCATATTCTGCGCATATTCATAACATATTCCCAACATATTTCCTTGATTTTATGTATGGAAAAGTGCTCTTTTATGGCAAAATCCCATACCTTTTCTGGATAGCAATTATAATGGAATTACCTGTACATTTTCCATGCTTTTTCCATACATTTTCCATGCATAATTTTTTATAGTAACAAAGGCAATATATTAAATAAATAAAAACACAAATTTTTCTTTCGGGAGAGCATGATAACTCTATGAATTTATGATTATGTGGATCAGAATGAATTGGCTATTACTAACTAATTAGTTTTATTAGTGAATAATTTTGGTTTAGTGATTTAAGAAAAATGATTTATTTAGTCGAAACTAATTTATTAACTTATTCCTAAGTTAATTTTTATTATAAAACTTCTTACAAAGTTATTTTACAAGTATGTTGAATTTAAGCTTCTTATATACAATTAAATTAATTAGTAACAACAAAACAAAACAATTCACACACATCTGCATAACTAATAAACCCTTTAATATCGTTGATAAACTCACTGACACTTTAATACATGATGTAGAAATGAACTGTTGGTAAAGTAAACTATTGGTAAAGTAAACTATCGGTGAAATGAACTGTCGGCAAAATGAACTGTTGGTAAAATGATTGTTGGTAAAATGAACTGTTGGTAAAATGAACTGTCAATAAAATGAATTGTTGGTAAAATGAACATTCAGTAAAGTGATTGTCGGTAAAGTGAATTCCTCCCATATAACATGATATAAAAAAAAATAATGGTATCGAAATACATGAAATAGGCTTCTGGAACACCTTGTGGCTATAAACCGGATAAATTGTCTCAGAAAAATCCAGCTTTTGTCCCAGAAACAGTAAGTTTATACAAAACTAGCAAATCTTCTAATTGTCATTACACCTATCGAACTTAGAGCTTCTGTATTCAGTAAACCCTTCCATGTATAGTCACACTTCTCTCAAACATATTTTTTTGCTTTACCCTTTCAATAAAGTTTAATTCACAATGAAATTTGGGGTAAAAAATGTATAAGTGCCATGCTTCTAAAATAGCTTCCTTCAATGCACACTTTTGATTTTTAAAATCAGGTTGCATCAAAAGGATCCTTCTAGAACAACAATCTACCTTATTTTCACCCATAACTTTAACTTTAACTTTACATAATTTACAGTCTGCTAATAAATCGCCTCTCTTTTTATTGATACAACGAAAATTAGCAGCGATCGTTTACTTTTATGGAAAGGATTTTAATTTGTTTAAAAGTTTATAGACGACGCGCACCATATCAATAAGATAAAATCTATATGTATAGTTTTTTCATTATTTCTCCTCCAAAATTCGTCTATTTGCAAAAAAAATAAATTGTTTCGATTGAAACTGTATATAGAGTACTGATACAGAGAGAATACGTTAATTTTGGGTCTGGTACGTTTCCCCGACAGGACGTTTCCCTGACAAATACATTTCCCCGACAGGAAATTTCTCCGACAAGATTTTGTTAACTATATTTAATATTAATTGGCTAATGAATGGCCTAAACGACTTAAACAGCTTAGTCGCCTAATGAATGGGTTAATAGACTTAAATGGTTTGATAAACTTAGCCGGCTATGAAATGACAGGGAAACAAATAAATATTGTAATACAAAATGTATTTGTCGGGGAAACGTCTAGGTACCGTTAATTTTCTGTTTTGTAATCGAACAAAAAAAAAGTATTGCAATAAAGGAAATTTTCGAATGAATATTTTACAATACTGAATTTTTTAAAATGTAAATAACTCTAGAGTTTTTAAAATACTACCTATTTACTATCTTTTCACACACATCTGATACCTATATTGTTGAATTGGGGAGAAATAACAATTTGAAAACTGCACATTTTATTATCGGAAATTCTATATGAAATTAATTAGATTGGTTTTCTTAGAATGTCGCGCACCCCAATAAAACAGCATCGAATGAAAACTTGAAACTTATTTTATTGACTTGGATTTTTTTCATTTTCATTTAATTATTTTATTTAAACCAATTTTTAATTTTTATAATCAACTAATTGTTTTATTATTTATCAAATAAAATTATTTTTTTGTCTGAATTTAGAAAAATCTCCTTTCCATATTAATGTTAATATTAATCTTTATATATGACCGCTCTCCCAATTAATGTGATGGGCGTAAAAACCTTTTTTTAAGTTATTAACTTAAAAACCATATAACAATTTTAATAGAAATATTCTTGCAAGAATTGAAATTTGTAACAAAATTGGATCATAATATAATGATGATGATGACAATGATGATAAATACATATTAAAAATATATAATGTTTTCATTTGATGAGAAACATTTGTTTAAGAAATTTTTTCTTGTAAGTGTACATTTTATAATTAGACATAAACTCGCGTCAACTCTGATTTTCTTTCTTTTAAATCATAAGGTATAATAAAGTCATTTAATAAAGTTTTTGCATCTAAAAGATGTTGATTAAGTAGTGATATTGATTCAGTTTTAGTTGGTTTTCTAAAGGAGGTTGCATTATTACTGTACTCTTCCTCTGAGATTTTTTCTATATCTTGTAGAATGTCAAATTGAATTTGTGCAATCTTGAACTCTGCACGATATTTTTGTAATAGAACAATTACACTTCTTTCATTTTCATTTGATTCTTTTGCACTTTCTATGTGCCCAACAGCATGACTTAAATAACGTAATCGATCTTTCAAAAGTAGATCATCCCCTGATTTCTGTGCCAAATACTCGTTAATTTCAGCTGCCCTAATATATTGTTGATGCACTACACAAAAATCACAATACAATTCTAATTTTCTTCTTGAAATAGAAGATGAGATACCATCACCTGTTGAATTTAAATAATCTTCGAGGAATGGAGCAGGAGGAATGAAAAGTTGTTGTATAGAATCAGCTCTTAAAAATTCATCGTAGACAGCAAAAAGAAATGCTTGATCATTTAATGATGTGCCAAGATTTAAAGCCTTTTGGAGAACTGGATTATATTTTTGTGGATTATGCGTCATTGTGTCAGAAAAAACACCTGCATCTCTTAATGTTTTTATGATGAGATCAAGAATTGAAGCTCTTTTTTCAGGTGCGGATTCAAAACTTTGCGATGCCTTCAATAAAAGTTCTATTGCACCTTCATAATAACCTAAATTTTTATATTCTTGACATAAATTATTTAAAGTTCCGTATGTCAAAATATTGATACAATCACAAAACAACTTTAGCGAAATTCCTAGTGCTTCGTCAGTGCTGTGTTCATCCTCATTCTTTTTTTTTTTTGCTTTTTGAAGAGCTTCATAGCCTTGATACATTTTTGCCTCAGAAACATTACAAAAGGCCGGGCATCTAGTTTCTAAATTCCTACTGAGGTTTTCTATATGTGGACTGTTCTCATTTTTAATTATTACTAATACCAAATCATGCCAACTACTTCTTACTTGTTGAACAGTTACCAAGTCTTCATAAGTGGATTGGAGTAATAGTTGTTGAAGATTTTTTGAAACACTAGAAATTATCCCAGGTAAATTATATTCAATCATTAATAAGATGAATGAAATTGCATCAGCCATATTAACAAGAAAGTCATATAGGATGGTTATTGAATTGTTTTGGATGGTTGAGGAATCTAAATGTATTTGAGATGGTGGCTTTTTGTAATAAGGATGGCTGTCAAAGAATGTTTTTAAATGTTTTAATTTTTTTTCCACATCAACAAGTATTTCTGATGGTATGTTTACATGTACTTTATTAACATTTCCAAGAACACGAATGGATCTAATAATTTTTTGATGCCAAATAGGCCTTAAAATTCTTGATAGACAAAATGCCAAACCTTCATATAATTGATTAAAGCCTAATTTAAAATGTTGAAAAAAAAGATGACTTTGATCATTTCCTATCAAAAGGCACATTGCAGTAGTTTGTTCAGGACCATAATTTGTAAGGAAATCATTTAAAAGATTTTGTTGATTTTTTAATAATATTTCTTTCAAGTAATCAACAGGTCTTTTCTTAGCCCAAATATAAATTCCTGATGATGTATATATAAGAAATCTTCTTTGAGGCAAAACAAATTGGCTAATTAATTCACTAGAGTATTCATCAAATTTTTTTGGATTATATAAAGGATTATAAATTTCTTGCATAGTCCAAACATTTTTGAAGGCAACAGAAAAATAATACTCTGAAAAAATATGATCCTTGTTTTGAATAAATTTTAGAAACATGGAGCCATGATTCGGTGAAGTATAGGTTAATTTATAGGATGAATTGTCTTTGCCTACAGCAAAAAATATTCCATGATAATAATTGAAAAGTTGAAAAGAATTACGACGTTGTTGTTGTTGTTGTTGTTGTTGTTGTTGTTGAAGTTGTTGTGGCAAATGATGTACTTCTAATATATGTAAACCATTAGGTTCTTTAAATTTTAAGGTGGAAGGAGATTCATAATATAGCCACCAATTAAAACTTCTATTGTCAAGATAACAAGTAAAATAGCCACGATGACCAGTGCTTGTTACAGCCAATAACCAGAAATAAGGAGAGTCTGTATTGTATATTGAATGTATTGAAACAAGTGTTCCTTTTAGTAATGAATTATGCTCCTGTAATGAATAAGTACCTACAGATTTTAAGGAGCTATCATCTTTTGACATATAATAAGCTGCAATATAATCATCAGCCATAGCATAGACCATATTACGCGTATCATCAACTACACAAGATTTAAAATTAGAGTAACCACCTTTTATAAATCTTAGGGTTGAATTGATAATATTGAGAGAATGAACTTCCAGTCTGCAAGGCTCATTAAACCAACGCTCATCATCATATATCAACTCACAAAGTTCACCATCATCTATTAAAAATATTCTACCATTATCAGTACCAACTATTGAACCAATTGTTTTTTTACTATAATTCTCTGTTTTATAATTTGGTGAAGACATATCATGAAAGGTGATCCCTTGACTTTCTGAAATAGTCAAACCAAACACATGCAATGATTTGTCAGTAGCTATAACTAAAACATATTGAGCATTATCAATCCAACGATCTAGTCTAGGCTTAACAAGACCTACACTTTTTATAAATTTGCCTTGGTCCGGACTAAAATCTATATGACCTATAGCTGATGCATCATTGCCCTTTTCATATTCCCAAATAAATAAGTTATTCTCAATTACAAAATAAACAAAGTAGGTATAAGGAAAACAACCTAAGAAACAATGTATCTTGTCGCTGTGTATAGCATTCCAATCAATAATAGTTTGTAAAGATTGTGGTAAAGGTATATGTTTTTCTTGCATGAAAGGAAACAAGTCTTCCTGACTAACATCTTTGTAACGATCTTGTGCATTACGATCGGTGGTTTGTCTGAACAAAGTTCCCAAGTATCTATTATCGATGTTAATTATTGGATTAATTTGTTCCTTGGGTGACGACATTTCCAAAAATATGTATATTAAATATTATCTATTTATGTATAAAGTAGTGGTAGTTTTAAAAAGAAAAAAATTTTTCGCGTTGTCGCATTTTTTTTTGCCACCAATATTAAAAGTTAAAAAAAATTTTTTTTTACAAAGCTGATATAATAAATAGAATTAGTTTCTGTTTGTTTATTTATTTGTTAAATGATCTTACTTTTCCCAATTAAGATCATATGGTTAACTCCTAAAGCATCAAATTCACTATGTGTTGGAGTGTCCATCTTTTGTAGAATTTAGAAAATATACTTCTTTTCTTTCTTTGTAAAAAAATCTCATCCCTTAACATTTTAATTTTAATTTACTGAAATTATTAATCAAATCATTGTTTAAGTCAATAATACAATTTCTTTGCAAATTGTGTAAAGGTTCTCACTAACTGTTTCAATATGTATATTTACTTATTAGGTTTGATACCAACCAAACTTTAATTTTAAATTGTTTATTATTTCTATTATATTAACAAAGATTAAGTTTTTAATTGGCATGAGAAAGTAAATTATTTACATCGATTATAATAAATTTATTGGAAGATTCAGTTTCTACAGGCCTTTTATTCTTAGTGGAGAAAGGGTAAAGGATGAGGTTAGCGTTTATTGTTTGACCTCCTCTATATTTAAAAGTTTTTGATTCTTATAGGTGAATTGCTTTTTAAGAAAATATAATACTATTTAGATATATATATATATATATGATATATTTTTGAAAAAGTTTGTATTATCAAAACTCTTTGGTAAATTAACTATATAAATAGAAGGTCGAATCCCACCATATATGTTAATTAACCTTGGAAATGGCCATTCAATCTCACCACAAATGATCTGTACAAGGTTTTCACCTTTTAAATAACTCTCCCAGGGCAATGAAAATAGCTGACTTTTTCGAGGCTACTGCAATAGTAGAAAATCTAGTGTTGTATGATTCCCTTGATAAAATAAAACAATTGTTGTCATCATCAGTAATTGCAACTTTAGCTATCCAAATAAATTTATTGGAAGATTCAGTTTCTACAGGCCTTTTATTCTTAGTGGAGAAAGGGTAAAGGATGAGGTTAGCGTTTATTGTTTGACCTCCTCTATATTTAAAAGTTTTTGATTCTTATAGGTGAATTGCTTTTTAAGAAAATATAATACTATTTAGATATATATATATATATATGATATATTTTTGAAAAAGTTTGTATTATCAAAACTCTTTGGTAAATTAACTATATAAATAGAAGGTCGAATCCCACCATATATGTTAATTAACCTTGGAAATGTCCATTCAATCTCACCACAAAGGATCTGTACAAGGTTTTCACCTTTTAAATAACTCTCCCAGGGCAATGAAAATAGCTGACTTTTTCGAGGCTACTGCAATAGTAGAAAATCTAGTGTTGTATGATTCCCTTGATAAAATAAAACAATTGTTGTCATCATCAGTAATTGCAACTTTAGCTATCCATGGTGCAGAAAATAAACCAAACGATAGTGCAGCTAGAAGATCATGTGAATCAGGTTCTTTCAGAATTGTTTTTAAATTCAGGTTCACTGCCTGTGTTATAGTTAGTTGTAAAAATTTTAACATAAGATTTCACATCTATTTTATTTTTGACAGATTGATGTTCTAGAACGCTTTTATTTCGGGCATGATCTTATTTTTTCGATTTCATAGATCATGTTCTCTATTTATTCTAAATACTTTATATAACTTATTTCATGGTCCTCTATATGACGCATTTTTACTCTAGTCAGCGCGTGTATGACACAAACTGACTTAATGACAAAATGGACGACAGTATGATATTAATAAAATTGTTTTATTTAAGAAAAAATGTTTATTAACTAATAATATATCAGAAAAATCTGTTAATTTCTCTTTCGATCTTCACAGTAGAAAATATCATCATCGATCTAAATTTGCTTGAAAAATTTATTATATAATAAGTTATAATGGTACGCATGCATGATAAAATTTTACAAATTTGGATGAATTTAAAATGGAATTTCAAAAAAGTAAATGTGTTCAACAATTCAAATTAAATAATAATAATACAAAAAAAAAATCGATGAATTGATTAATTAAAAATGTTCAAAGCGACCAAGAAAATATTTTTAAAAAGAAAAAATGATAAATCTTTATCAACAACAACTTCAAGTAGTAGCAGCACTTATATAACTACACCTGTTAATTGTAGTCCCGCTCACAGTAGACGGACTAGTACCAGCAGTATTAATAATTCGACTATCACTAGCACCACCACTAATAGTAATGATTATAATATTCATACACTTGGTTCATCCACAACACCTTCAACAGGAGAAATGGTAGTTACAAGTGGGCAGCTAGTATTATCAACTATAGAAAACAGCTTTAGTAATTACTTACCAATAATTGGTATAATCTCTAGTTTATGTGAAAGAATTATAAAAAGTTATGAGACAGTCAAAGACAATAAAAAAATATGTGGAGTATTAATTGATAGGGTTGAATTGACTCATCTTGCAGTAAAACAATTAGTTAGAGCCAAGGAGGAGAATGAAGAAAACTTTAGGGAAGAGTCATATTTCAAAGCATTTAATAGATTACAAAAAGTTTTAGAAAATATTGAAAACTTTATTAAAAACATGTCAAACTATGGAGCATTCAAGCATTTTGTTAATGCTGAACATTGTAAAAAATGTTTTGAAGATTATTGTGATGATTTAGATAAAGTTTGTGCAGATTTACAATTTAATATAACAATTAGGATTTATCATAATTTGGAAAAAATGTGGGAGATTTTTTATGAATCTTTTAAGGTTAATAATAATAGGTTTTTTTTTTTTAAAAATAAAAAAACCAAAACAAAATATTTAATATATTTATTAATTATGTTCAGAACGTAGGAACATTAGAAACACAAGGAAAATTAGTTTTAATAGGAAAATTAAATAAATCTATGAAAACCAATGATTTTGATTTTAATCAAGAACTCTTAAAAATACCAAAAATCGATACTAACGAAATAGAGGATGTGAAACCACAAGACAGAAAATCAACAGATATAAGAGGAAAAGATAAAAATGTAGTTAAGAAAGTATTAAAGCGAACAGTTGATGTAGCATGTAAATATATTGTAGGGGATTTAAAGGATGTTAATGATGCTGAAACCAAGAAGTTTCATGGCCAACTTATAATATTAAATGCTATTCAATGTGAATATATTGTTAAATTCTATGGCACTTCAAATGTCAATTCTCGCAATGTCTTAATATTTGGCTGGGCAGAAAAAGGAAATTTAAAAGATTTATACGAGACTAATTATATTAATTGGATTACAAAATTAAAGATTGCTTATGATGTTATCAAGGGTCTCATATTCATGCATAGATGTAAAATTTTACATCGAGATGTTAGATGTGAAAATATTTTGGTAAGTTCTTTGATAAAAATAAAAAATAATATTAATATCAATATTAATATAAATATAAATATTTGTAGATTGATGAGAAAGGAAACCCAAAAATTTCAAATTTTCACCTTAGTCGTGAAGTGTCTCAACCATCTAAAAAAGTAGAAAGAATGGAAGATTATCTTCCTTGGTTAGCACCTGAAAAAATACCCACTGAAAAAATATCTGCTGATGGCATAAAACCAAATTCACGACGTTATGATTTTTATTGTGAAATGTTTAGGTAAATTTTTTTTCATCAACAACCTATATATATAAACAGCATTAATAAATATTATTATTATTAGTTTTGGAATGCTTCTTTGGGAACTTACCTACCAACAAGTTCCATATAAAGGGAAAAAATCAGAGAAGATTAAAGATTATGTTTTAAGTGGTCAAAGAGAAATAATAAAAATTGGAAAATACAATAAAGAAATACAATCAGGTTTAATTGAAATTATTATAAAAGGTATTATTAAATGATATATAATAATAATAACAATTA